CAATGCTAGCTCTTTAGAAATATAGAAACTTCTTTAATCAAACCAAAAAGGAGAAACTTGCTTTATATAAAGAACAAAACTTAACTATAGTTAAGCAAGACAACCACATTGCAAATTATTTAAATACAAAAGATATACATTTTATAGCAATTATACGAAAAGTTGTCAAAAGATATAGTTGGGTCCAAAGCAAGGAGTTTAAAAATGATATACTATCTGAAGAGAAATGAATTCTTCTTGGGTACAATAATAGTATAGAGTTAATACAAGAAAAGGACAATAAACTTAAATCAAGTCCTCTAGACATGGAAATTAGCTTTATGAAACAAGTTGTTATATTCAAAAATTATAGCAATAGTACAAATTGTAACAACAATAGTAGTTCTTATAAAAGAAGCCTAGTAAAGCAAGAAAATAGTAATGACTTAGTTGAGTACAATCAAGAGACAAGAGTTAATATACTTGTATAAAATGAAGTTGGTACATTAAATAACATTTGATTATTCTTATGATATTATCTTGCATACTCAATAAAAATTAATTATAAAAAAATATACTAATATTACCTTTATATTATTAATTAATTACTGATTATCTTAAAATAATAATGTACTTTTCACTTAGAAAATATATAAATGAACATCTCAATTACTGGATTTAGTAGTTATACAAATCTCAGTAATTTTTCATTGTTAAATATATAAAGTAAAAATCAAACAATAAAAAATATATTAATATTGCCTTAATATTATTAATTAATTACTAATTACATTAAAATAATTATATATATTTCCAACTTTTGATCTAAAAACTCTCTCTGTCGATTACTAAAACCAAATTTGGAGCTAAAGGAAAACCAAAACTTGGCAACTATTTTACTAAGACAACAATAGAACTAGCTCTAAGCTAAAGAATAGAAAACAGAAAAACAACTGGAGTTTCTTAAAACAACTTTGCTCACTACATCCTTAAAAACTATCTTCCTAGAAAATTTTTGCACTTTCAACAAAATTTTAAAACTTTTCTTAAAATTTGGGGATTTACTGTCAACTCTGTACTGCAGATCACAATCTAACAAAACAAACAAACATGTCTAGTTTAGGTGAATAAACAAACAAATTAATATTTGTAGATAATCAACCAACACAACAAACAAACACATGTATCACTGAAACAACAACTATTACACGTAAAATGCCTAATCTTATTATATATAAAAATTTCTTTAATAAGTCGGAAACTGAAAGGGCAGTAGTACAAGAAGAGCAAAACAAATTTATTTGGGAACAAGATAGAAAAGTTGCAAAGTATCTGGATACTAGCGAAACCTATCTTATTGCAATTATACGCAATGCACTACAACACTACGACTATGCTCACGACAAACTAGAGATGTTACGGTCAATCCTAGTTCGGTCTTGGTTCAAAAGACCGGTCCAGATAGCAGACCATAAACCGGACTTAGGTCCGTGAACTGGTTCAAAAACCGGGTTTAATTTGGTTTGGTCCAGAACTAGACCTTGGACCGGTCTACCTTCAATCAATAAGAATGCGTTATTTAAGTGATCATGATCTTTTTAAATTCTTTAAAAAAACTTTGATATTATGTATTATACGTTACAGTAGATCTTGCAGCAGATTTTATTTGTAAAAAACAAAAGAACTTTAAAATGAATACATTTTTTACACTTATATTAGCAGTTTCAATTTTTGAAAAAACATTTAGTAGAAAGTTCTTGTGTTTTACAAATCAGTGATGATACTACTGCACTATTATAAGATCATCTCTATTCAAGTTGTTTTTTTAATCAATCTCACCAACCCCATTACTAATCCAGCTTTTAACACAGAGACACGCCCTTGCTGTTTCGGAATGAAGATGATTACAGGTTCTTGAAATAGTGTTACCAGCTACTGAAAAGATTTGCTCGCAAGCCACACTTGTCGCTTATATATTTAAGTAGTCGGATGCCATTCTTGAAAGTATAGAGTAAGTTTTTTGGTTCGCTTTCCACCAATCTAATAGGACTGTATCTTCTTCGATAACTTCTAACTTAATATAACACTTCAATTCATCAATATTTGTGGTTAAGGGTTTATCAAGGGTATTGTCAGGTAATTCTTCAGCTTCTAATCTATTGTGCAAATTCTAAAAAAACTTTAGAGCGGTCCTAATTAGGGTGTCTTCGATATTCACAGGGTGAGAGGAGTTTGCTGATATCCATAGATATATTGGTCTATAATTTCTTGAACTATTCTTTTGGCATTAATAGCTTTTGTCTTATTAAATGTCTTTAATTTTGTACAAGGGTCTAGAATGGCAGAGACAACAGAAGACTTATCTATTATATTCCAATATTCTTCTATCTTATAATGAATTGATGCAGCAGCCATCTTTTGAGAAAATTCATCTTGTTCAAGATACATATCTAAAAAATTTTGAATGCTTAAAAACACCAAACGTATATCGCTTATGGTTGGATACGATGTTGCAGAGAGTAGTTTAGTGGCAGCTTTTAAGGGTTCTAATAAAGTAAATACGTCCTATCAAATATTAAAAATATTTATTAATAGCTTGAAATACTTCGTTTTATCATAATTTTTTTTTCTTTTTGTATTTATTTACTTTTAAACTTTGTTGCTCATTAATATTTGGATATAGGGTATAAATTGATGGATGGTTTGCGGCAAGTAATTTAAGAGCTGCATCCATTTTTTGCATTTTTTGTAGCATGTAAAAGGTACTATTCCATCTTGTGTCCATGTCTAATTCAGGTTTGAGATATGGAATTACTTTAAGTTGACATAATCCACACAAATCATCGCAAAGACAGGTAGATACTTTGATTTTTGACATTAGGCTTCGAACTTCTCTACTGAGATGTCTACCATTTCTAATCTCTGTTTTGCGGCACATGAGCCACACAATGGTAATGTGAAAGCCCAATATTATCAAATTCATTTTGGAGTTCTTGTGCAATTAGTCTTCCACAAACGAACATCGTGGACTTGTTATCTGTCGTAAGTGCTAGAACTTTATTTTGAATATTAAATTCAGTAAGAAGATCGTTAATGGCATCTGCTATATTTACACCTGTGTGTCTATTGGTAAATGGAATGATGTCTAAAAGAAAATGTCGCATTTTCCAATTTGCATCAATGTAGTGAATTGTAACACTGAGGAATGCTTCGAAATTTCGGGATATCTACATATCGGCGGTTAGAGAAATTTTTCCAGGAATTCTTACAATATTGTTAACTATTTTAATTCTTCTACTTTTGAACTTATTTATAACTATTCTTTTTGCAGCTTGTCTTGTTGGTGTTATATAATAGGGGTCAAGAAAATTAATGAAATTATTAAAATATTGATTCTCAATAACAGTGAATGGTTGTTAGTCGGCGATGATCCAGATAATTAATTTTTTGTCTCTCCTCTTTTGCTCTTCATCATTATATAGATCAGTTCTAGGGTTTCTAGGAAAGGGAAGAGTAGTTTGGCATCTTGCCGGCGCACTAATATTGTGAGAACTAAGAAGTCTTTGTAAAGATAAAACTCCAGTAGTGACTAAAAAGATGGTATTACACCTTCGGCATACGGGTAATCCAGGATGAGAAACTGTAATGATATCAAAGTGAGGCCAAACTGATGAATGCCTTTTAAGCCTCCTTGGTGTATTATTACTTTGAGGTAAACTAGTATTGGTTTTTCGAGAAACCTGACTATTTAGGTCTGAAAGATTATCTTCAAACGGATTATTATTTTCAGGATCAGAAAGGTTATAATTTTCATCAGGGTTCATTTTTTTTTGTTTTTTTTTCATAAGAAAAAAGAGCAAAGCTCTATATTTTTAAATCAGAGATACATTCTATTATTTATTACCGTATTGGACTTTAATTTATTGAGCTAAGTGATTTTTTGTTTCTTGATTTAGATATTAATATACTGTATTTTATCTTATCTAGAGTTTTTTTTTTTTTTTCACAGTATAACTTTAGTTTATAATTACTTATTCTGCTATTTCATCATTTTACATGTTCTTATCTCTTACAATCAAGTTTGATTCATCTTGAATTGGCTAATTGATTTTTTTAAAAGATGCAATTTTATGATTTGGAAAGTTTCAGTTTCTGAAATTAGATTTTTTTTAAGTTTTAAAACAAACAATATCAGATAGCGTGAGAATATAAGCAGAAATAGGATCGATCTGGATTCTTGAACGAAAATTCGAATTATAGAAGTTGAATCGCATGCATTTAAGATAATTATTTTATAGGATAATAATGAATTACAAAATATTTGTATATTAGTTAAGCAGAATAATGATATGATCTGGTTTTTTAATATTGATTTTTACCTGTTGTGTAGATTAAATCATATAGTTTAGAAATTCAATTCTTGAATATGTGTTTTGAGATTCTTATTTCATGAATAAAATTTTTTTGTTTGAGTTAAAACCAGCTATTACAAAACTTTGGGGTTTTTTCCCATGAAATTATATAAAAACTTGTTATTATATAAAATAAAAATTCTTTAATCTCGAAATATTTTAAAATATTAATCACTCTATTTAGTATCAAGGTTATACATGAACCAATTCTGGTAAGTCGGCTTCAGTAAAAAGATTGCGTAATTCAAACATTGTTCTTTAAAAAGTAGTATCGTTATTTTTTTTTTTATTTCTATATATACATAAAAAAAAAGCCGCCTTTTACACTTGCGATTAAACCTCTGTAAAATGACGTTCATTTTACAAAGCAATGGTATTGGTATAATAGACTTCTAGTAATGAAAAATAAACATACAGGTATAATTTAAATATGAACGTAATTGTTCCCTGCATATTATCTTGCATATATTTAATTATATAAATCGTGGACTGACTTATTTGGACTGGTCTGAATTCTTGGACCGGGAACTACTTGAACTGGTTCAAAAAACCAGTTAGGACCATGGTCTTTGTAGGACTGTAACATCCCTACGACAAACTAACAAGAGATCAAATCTTAGAAGAAGAAGAAAACATTTTACTAGAATTCCCAACTAACAATACAACACAAGCAGAGAATACAGATTCCAAGAAAACAATATTAAAATAAAAATTGAACCTTTTCTAATAGAAGACCTTATTATATATCCAACAGAGCTCCTTAAAACAACCAATATTGACACAGAATCAGAGAGAAAACACAAAATAGTGCTAAATAGAATTGAAGTCAAAACTAAACCACTTCCGATAGAAACTACTCCAGCAATACCATTTGTCGATATTAAGAGCACTATTGAAAACATAGAAATAGAATTACAAGACAACCCTCGAAAGAGAAATATTACAGAACAAGAAGCATCAACACTTATTTCGAAAGATCATCTTGAACTAGTTAAAGACATACTAGCAGAAAAGGAGTATGGTATATTAGATTATAGCCTTAAAGAACTCTTAAAAGATAAATTGCAGACCAATGCAAATCTTTCAAAGCAAATAAGCCACAAGAAAACTAAATAGCATGAAAATATATACAATTCAGTTTGGGCTCCAAAAAACAAAATTTCGCATCCAAAGGCCTCTGCTTCATCGACTTTTTTCTTTACAATTTGGAACCTTCCAAAATATATAAAAGTATTGGTAATTAAGTCATATTTGAATGTCTTTGGTATGGCAACTATTATAGCATGGCAACAGAACTTTAGAACGAAGACAGCATATATTAAAATAATACCAAACTCAGAGCAAAGAGAAAAATCTCTAAAAGAAGGTTGGTCAATTTACTTAGAACAAGGCAAAACATATTGCACTACACCGGGCAAGTTCAATATTGCAGAAATAGAAACAAGGAACAATTACAAAGGCATTATTTCAAATATACCAACATCAGCATATGATAGCCTTCTTTTACAGCAGCTTAAAAAGTATAGAGTTCAAGCAATACATATTTTATACAACCAAAATGAAAATCAAAGGAAAAGAGCCCACCTGTATTTCAAGTCAGAGGAAGACCTTTTATTAGCCCAAAGCTGCAACTTATTTTACTTCAACACCAAACTTAAATGGTATCTAGATACAGAAGACCCGAACGGTAGAAATTTTTTAAATAGCATGTTCCAGTATAAAAAAGAAAATAATAGCCAGAACAAAGGAAAGAGATCAAAAAATGAAACAGAATTATATAAAGAAAGAAACCTACCTAGAAGCATATTTACTAAACAGTGGGACGAGAATAGAAGACCGTCTCCTACCCACAGAGTTAACTCAGATAGTGGTAGAATTAATAGCATCCGTAGACCTTGAAGCAAAAACAGAAAACCACTTAGAAGTGTAGAAAATGTAATTGCTACAGGTTCAAATAAGATAGAAGTAAGCAAGAAAAGAGAAAATCAAAACGATCAAGAAATTGTAAGGCTACATAATGAAAACCTTTACAAGAAGGCTAGACCACATAGCTTAGACTACAATAAGTTAAGAGTTAACCACACAGTAAAAAGTAAAATGTATAACAACATCTTGGAGCAAATCTTGAATAGATTACAAAAGATAGAGGAAAAACAGGGGACTCCAGATCCCAATTTGTATTAACAAATACAGACAAGCAATATAGCTTGTTAGGGCAAACACTACTTAAGATAACCAATGATGCTCTAGTAACTGAGTTAAAGTTAAATTTAGTGCCAGTAAATATAAAACAAGTTAATAGAATAAAAGAAAGATTTGAATAAGTAAAGATAGGCTTTTACATATTAACGGTCTAAAAGGAAATAAGACAAAATTGCAAGAACTTATAGATTATGGTTTGGAAGAAAATCTAGACATTATAGGAATAACTAAAACAAACACAAGCACAAGAGAAGCAGTTTTTTTTGAAGTTAACTGGCAACACTATAGAGCTTTCTGGACCAAAGATACTATAGAAAAAAGAAAAGGCTCAGGTGTAGGATTATTAGTAAGAAAAGAGTGGCAAACTCACCTTACGGAGATAATAGTAAAGGATGCGTATACATTAAAAGCAGTTTTTAGATTTAAAAAAATAATACTAGTTATATAGATAGTTTATTTTCCTCCAAACGATAAAAGTACAAAGAAGAAGATACAGCAATATCTAACAGAAGATATTACTAAAAGCAAATTAAACACAAGAATAGTGATAGAAGGAGATTTCAATACAAAATTAAATGTTGAAGCAGGTACTACTCAGAATGTTAGATTATGAGAAGTTACACAAAAGAACAAACAGTGCAAACTTCCAATTATAAGATGGCTGCAAAAAGTAGGCTTTGAAGAAGCATATGTACTTATTAATCTACAGATCTTCATAGCAACATGGGCCAACTCCAAATCCTGCTCAAAAATAGACCATATATGGTTAGACACAGATCTAAAAGAACTCGTGATAAATAGCGATGTAGAACTGATGGATCTTATCATGGGTAGTAATCACAATCTAATATGAACCAAATTATTGCTAAGCTCTATACTTCATACAAGCTCAACTACCTAGCAAAGACAGAAAAACTTTGGTTATCGAAAATATATCTGTACGATAAAATAATTGAAGAGAACTGAAAAAATTTCACCACTCTCCTCAAGAAATACATTGAGGAATTCTGTAACAAAGAATCTAAAAAAGAAATCAGAATACCTATTTTATCAAAAGAAGACTGGATAAATGAAGTATGGAAGAAACTAGCAGAACTAATAAACAAAGCTGCAAACAAAACAATTCCACACAAGAAAATCCAGAACACAATAGAAGAAAAGCAAAAACAAATCATATAGAATCCAAGATACAAGTAAATCAAGCAGCTAAGAAGAATAGACCAAATAGGACACTCAAATCTAAATACAGAAATCAAAACTAAAGACCAAACCTCTTTAAATATTCAAATAGAACAAGTAAACTTAAACAATGGTACAGAAATCTAAAAGATTGGACAAAGATGGTCAGAACAATGGTTAAAAACCTCAAAGAATAGATAAAATTAATAGAAAAGAAAATGATTTCTGAACAAAAAATTGAACAAGAAAGAAGAATAAGAGATAATATTGAAAGAAGGTTTGGGATGATTGGTCGTGAAGATAAGAAAATGCTCAACAGTATTCTTGAAAGGCCATAGAACAAAATTGAAATAGAAAGAATTCTTATCACAACAGATTCTATATCAGGAAAGAAAGAACTCATTTATGAACCTAATGAGGTCAAAAAAGAGGTCAATGTACACTTCACAAAACAATTTAAAGAAGATACTCGGGTTCCTGGAGAGGAAAAAAAAATATGGAAAGAAGAATATACACCATGCTCTTTTGTCCAACAGGATTGGTACAATAATGTTCTAGACAAAATCAAATTAGAAAAATGGAAAAAAATGCTTCTCAAAACCTCTAACAAATCAGCCCCAGGGTTATTGAATATAGGATACATAATTTTGAAAAAACTTGAAAAAAAAGCCACAAACCTCCTTTTAAGACTACTTAATAGAATTTTAGAGAAAGGAACGATGCCAAAAAAATAGAAAATTGGAATGATTTTTCCTATCCAAAGCTATCAGAATGGGATTTACAACTCGGCAATACAAGACCTATTATGCTACTCAAAGCAGCAAGAAAAGGACTTATAAGAATTATCCAACGAAGGCTAAGTGATATTATTATACACCATAGAATTCTTAAGAAGCCAAACTTCACAGGATTGCAAGGCAAATATACTCAAGATCCAATTCACATTATGAATGTTCTAATTGAAGTAGTGAAACAAGAAAACAAAGAAATGTGGATAACTTTCATAGATATTAAAAAAGCATTTGACACAGTAGATCTCAAGAGGCTTCATCTTGCATTAAAGAGAATCAAGATTCCAGAAAAGTTAGAAACATTCCTAGTTAACATGTTTACAAACAGCAAGGTCAAAGTTATTACCAAGTTTGGTTTAACAAAGGGTTTCTGCTCGGAAAGAGACATAGATCAAGAAGAAGTGATTTCCCCCTGCTCTGGAGAATATACTTCGACCCATTATTTTGCAAACTACGCAAATGCAAATATGGTGCTAAAGCAAAATTAGAATGGCCACTAGATATAACCTAGGGGAAGACAAAAGAAGAGGAGATACAAGTTGCAGGTTTAGCATATACAGATGATACTGCACTCCTAGCAAACTCTAAAGAAGACATGCAGAATCTAATTAATATCACGAAATCTTTTTTTCAGCTAAATAACATTGAAATAAATGCAAAAAAAACAGAACTTCTGGTAATAAACGCAAAGAATGAGAAAGAAGGAAAATCAGTTCTGATCAAAGAAGGAAAGGAAAAAATATTAGCAAAAAAAAAAAAAGAAATAGCTCATTATCTTGGAGTATAGTTGACTGCAGCAGACATAAAATCTATAATTAAGAAGAAACTTGGTATTGAAATCAAGCAATTAGCTAATCTACTTAGCAGAAAGAAGATCTCTATAGAACAAACCAAATATATAAACAATATAGTGCTACTACCAAGAGCCGAATACAGGTTGAATATGATCATGCTCTCTAAAGAAGAATATGACAAACTTCATCAACCGATAATAAGAATAGCAAAGTGGAAAGTGGAACTGGCCTCAACTGCTTTCAACTTGGTACCAATGCAGAAAGATATCTGGAGAATAAACTCTCTGTGGCAACGATATACAGAACATATAATTACTGAATAGGTAGTTAGAATAAACAACCCAAACCTCATAGGTGACCTTACTAGAATGAGATTAAAAGATGCGCAGCTTGCACTTTGTTCGACAGTACCAATTTGGCTTATAGAGAATGAAGAAATCAAAAAATTAAGCCTGAAAAATAATCTCAATATGAGTATACTTGTAGTAGCCAAAGATATAGAGATTAGCATCAAAAGTATAGAACTGAAAAAAAACTGGAACATAGCTCTAAACAACAATCCAGTAAATAAAATAAGAATACTACTACCCAAAAAGGAGCTAAAAAGAGGTGTGTATCATTTACGAAACCTCAACCTTTGGTGTTTAGAACAAATAACTACAAGGCAAGACAATACCATGTTTACATAGCAACAAATTAAAATGATCTGGGAAACTAAAACAATGGGAAAAACTCCTCAATGGTTCCGAAACCTAGAAGAGATAGTGCTGGAAAACAGATCTTCTCGTAAGCTAAAGGGAGTCTTTATTCAAGAAAAAGATTTTAATGAGGTTCAAATAAAACTAAAGAAAAGAAAGCTATTCTACAAAAGATCCAAAAAAGAATGGGTAATTGGATCAAAGAAGAAGGACAAGACACCATTCTTAGGCAAGATAC